AAAGATTGTTTTTTAATCAGAGTCAGAACTTACTAGAAATGATTCTTTTATTTTTATTGTGTGGCCCTCTTGAATGGTGTAGGCCTCCATAGGTCTTAACCCATAGCAAAGTCTGTGCACTGAAGGCAGTGGTATCTATTATTGTATAACAATGTTATAAAATAACCCTAGTGGGGTAGTCCCATAAATAACTGCAGAAGCTGGTAATTACTGTAGTGTGGTTTACTGCATGATGCCACCCTAGGGCTAAATTATAACTGGCCATGCATTAGTGTGCCATAAAGAAGACAAGACACAAGGAGCCCGCTTTTGTCTGCATCTCAAGGTATGCCACAGAGAAGCAAGGAGGAACCACTGCGAGAGCACCAGGACAGCAGAAGGACAACAAGGAAGGAGCGGGGCGTAGGGGTTCAGAGGCAATGTGAGGGTACAGATTCACACTTGACTTTCATGTTCTGCAAGAAATGTTTAAGCTAAATCAGCGCTGGTTCTGGAAGGGGAGATGGTGTGAGGGAGAGATTAGTAGACCACCATTCCTTTTGTGGAAGTGGCTTCATACAAGAGGGAAGTGCCACTGTACACTCCAAAGGACACATAACTGAAGTTTCTGCTTCAGTGGTGGAAAGGGAAATGGAAAGGGAAAGGGAAAGGAGAGGAGAGGAGAGGAGAGGAGAGGAGAGGAGAGGAGAGGAGAGGAGAGGAGAGGAGAGGGGAGGGGAAGGGAAGGGAAGGGAAGGGAAGGGAAGGGAAGGGAAGGGAAGGGAAGGGAAGGGAAGGGAAGGGAAGGGAAGGGAAGGGAAGGGAAGGGAAGGGAAGGGAAGGGAAGGGGAAGGGAAGGGGAGGGGAGGGGAGGGGAGGGGAGGGGAAGGGAAGGGAAGGGAAGGGAAGGGAAGGGAAGGGAAGGGAAGGGAAGGGAAGGGAAGGGAAGGGAAGGGAAGGGAAGGGAAGGGAAGGGAAGGGAAGGGAAGGGAAGGGAAGGGAAGGGAAGGGAAGGGAAGGGAGGAGAAGGAAGTAATTTCTAAGCACAAAAGGTTATTTTGAAATGAAATATCAAAATATTGTGTTTTGAACATGTAAAAATATTTTGAATCTTCTGAGTGTTTTAAAGGGTATTTTTTTCAGTCAAAATGACTTAGGATCTTTTACCTGAAACAGCAAATATTTTTAGTTCCTTGAAAATTAATCTTGGTGAATGAAAGAGCAATGTCACAGTAACTTTAAGGCACATGAAGCTGCAAATGTCTGTTCATCACAGATTTAGGTGAACCTTCCAGCGACTTTGGCTTGGCACTCTGTTGCATTTGTTGAGCGGAGAGAACTTGGCCAAGGTAGATGAGTTGGGATTCATTCAAACTGTAACAGTGATGTTACTTCTGGAAACCTTCCCCCTCACTTGTGTTCCTCTCAGGCATACTCTAGATTAAAGGGAATTTTGAGATAAGATTTTGGTTTGAGAATAAGACCATGCTAGATTAATGATAGTGCACAGAGGAGAGGAGCCAGTTTCAAAGCAAGCACCCAAAGCCAAATTTGGAGCTTGACCCAAACCTGCCCAAGATCAAAGGATTTGTTTCAGGCCAGATCAGTATAGGATCAAGGAGAAAGTTTATGTCCATTTCGAATTGCCTGAACAAAGCAAGAAGTTTTAGAACTAAAGAGGCAGAAACATGTTACACGGGAGAAGAGCGTCTTGTCAGGAGGAACATGGAGAGAGTGAAGTGACTAACGATGAGGTTTCTGAGATATTGCCACAAACAATTCAGGGAGGACCCTGAAAGCCTGTCTTTCAGGACTGTATGATGATTTCATTCTTCAAGCAGAGAAGGAGTATAAGCCAGAGTATATTTTCCAACTTGTTTCATTTATACTTTACATAGCTTGTTTCATTTGGGCAAAATACTTTGAACAACAACAACAAAAAATCGCTGCTATCTCAGTGTCAAAATCTGCATTGCAGGAGAGACTCAAGCAAAAGGCCTCAGACAGAGATGCCTCTTGTTCTCCTCACAGTTGATGGCCTCATATGGTGATATGTGTGCTTCTCCATTGTGGGTATGCAGCAGGGGCAGCTAGCAATACCGTCCTCACCTGAAACTTCAATGCTTGGCTTTGCAACCCAAATGCTAAGGAATTTTGGTTCACATATGCATGCATACATGCATACAAATATATATAGGCACACCCACACATGAAGAACAGCAATCAGTTTTATCCCTTCTCTTTGCGGTTGTCAGTAAATTTAGCACACGAATTCATGTGAATGAATGTAATAAACACGTCTTGTGATCTAAGTGAAAGGGAAAATATTTCCACAAGATGATGTGTTGCATGTAAAAATAAACAACTTGATTGCTCTTACACGCTCTTCTTTTGTGCAAGCAAAGAGAAATGCAGAAATATTACCACATTTCATCATGCAGGACAGGGGGGCCCAGGTGACACCCTGATCAGGTGTGCATGCATAATCATTCCGAAAATAATCACCCCTTTGAATAATTTCACTCCAAATCTTGCAGTTTCAACTTATTCTCCGTGAGTGACTCATAAATCTTTACTGTGAATGTGAATCAAGTTTCAGAGCTGCAGGCTCAGGAGCTTGTTGGATTTATTCAACTTTTGCCTTTATTTATAGACATAAAAGTGTATTATTGGTTGTAACATCCAAACAAAGGAAAACAGATTGTAAGCATCCATTAACGTTTTCCCAAAAGGGAAATCTGGCATTTCTCCTGGGTCTTTCAGTCTCTCCCCAGTAATATTAAGATGATGTCATAAACTCATAATTACTTTGTGATGCTCTTATGTACCCTGTGCTGCTTATTCAGGGATGGTTATTTCCTTTCTCAACAGAGTAAAACTGAACAACACAAACAGGTAGAAGGAGGCAGATCAGTCTTTGGTGATTTAAGAATTGAGGGACCCCAACATTTTTATCTCACACTATGAGAATAATCTTCTCCACTCTGCACAAGGACACAGGTGTTTTATGTGCTGTTGTTAAAAATGATTTTGTTAATATTCAGATAGGAGATGTAAACATTTTACAAACACTTCAAAATGACTGGAGCAAAGGGCTATTTGGGGAGCATTCATCTTCAGGTTGTGTAGTCTTCACTGCTGAATCAGACCGTAATCTGTCCAGGTTCCTTCCAAGAAATTATTTGAATTACTGGTGGACCTTGGCCAATGGCAGAATCGATTTCACACTTCCTCTTTACTACAGTAGTGAGAATCTCAGATTGTCAAATGTGTGTGTGTGTTGAGGAGAGAGAGGAAGAAGCCACTGCATGAACATGGGGAACTCGGTCCTTGGCGGGTGCAGGGCAGGGGCCAGGGTTGCATTTTTAGGACGTGGGGCTCTGGGCATGTGTTCACTCCTTGTTTGAGGGTGGAACAGATAATTTTTTTCAGGCCTGTTTGTCCTGTAGCAATTTTTATTTACAAAGGAGTCTGACTGAGTAACTTGAAATGAATAATAGATCTGTCTTTCTTTCTCTTTCTTGTGGGGTAGCTCTAAGCAGATTGTGATTTCCTCAGATTTATTTGCTATTCAGAAATATCTAATGCATATTTTACAGTGGGCTTTTTAAATTTTATTTTATTTTATTTTATTTTATTTTATTTTATTTTATTTTATTTTATTTTATTTTATTTTTTCCATTCCATTGATTAGACTGCTGAGTATCTGGGGGCTGTGTGCTGGGTTCAGAGCACAAGTCCTGCACCAAGGTGGGTTGTGACTCCTGCCTGGGCTGGTAGTGTGGGATGGGACTTTCTGGGCATCTGCCATGGGTTAGGCACTGGGCTTTGCAGTTCTGTGTTCCTACTACTTTCTGTCCTGCTCTCAGGAAGGTGGAGGGCCTTCTTGTGCGGATGTGTAAGTCACTCTCTCTGGGAATACACATACTGGTTTCTGTGTACTGGTGTGCTCAGTGGATGTGCACAGCTACAATGAAACCTGTTTGAGAACTGGGGAGAATATGCAGAAGAAGAATATTGTTCCCAGTACTCACTCAAAGATAATTTGATGGAAAAGAGAAAAATCTCTCCCATCCTCAGAGAGGAGCATAAATATCTATTTCGAACAATTCTTTAAGGATCTAAGGTTTCTTATTACTCATTGCTAACCATTTTAATTTCTGACCTCTTCTGCTTCACTAGCTGCAGACCCATTCAGCAACCTTTTAGGATTCCGGTGCAGTGATTGATGTCCCAGCCCAAATTTCTGTGAATTACTGCTATATAGAGCCACTGATGGAAAGTGGGGCTGGCCTTATTGTTTTCCCTGTGTAGCTTTCTGTACTTCTCCCTTCCTGGTGCTTCATTTAGGCATGGATATAATTTTTGGCTCTACAGAGACATTTGTAGCACAGTCTTCCATGTCTTGAACAGAATCAGACTCAGACCTGTCAGGTTGGTTTCATTTCTGTCACAGTTTCCGTATGTACTTTTGGATGATGTACGCCTTTTATTTGGGTTACACTGCTGTTCCTTGGTTAAATGAGAGTCACTACAGAGTGCTTAAAAGCGGCTGCTTTAGGTTGTCTGAGAACACTAGCCTGCCCTGTTTGTCAGCAGGCCTCTATCAGAGCCCTGCATTCATGAGGAAGCAGTTCTTCATGACCTGGGAGCTGGGCACTAAGCATTGCTAGATCAGAATAGCAGGAACAGCACAAGGGAATCTTTTTGTCACCACGGTGATGTGCTTACTCTATAGATGCCATTTTACTATTGGAGGTTAAATATTATTCACAAGTTCCAAGTTGGAATTTTTCTTCTCTGTGTTCATTTAAGATTTAGCCTGAAGTATTAATATAAAATTCAAAGTTGTGTCCTCTTCACTGAAATCCAGTGTGGTTACAAGGTTCTAATAAATATTATGTCGTTCCGTCACGCAATTAAAATTTTCCACCTCGTTTCACAATGCAAAACACTCGCGTATTGTCAATCATTTTGAAACATGATTTTTTGACATCATGTAATTTCACTTCATTTTTTAGACAGACATCGCACCAGGAAATTATATAAGAAAGGATCCTATTATATCTTTATTTTTCCACCAAATTTCACCTTCAAACACAGACATTTGTGTACATTTCAATAATTCCGGCGATAAACTTTCAAGGAGAAACGAATGGCATCCACAAAGGCGGAGATCAGCATATGGAATTTGCTGCTCTTCAGAGACCACAGCTCCAGCGCCGGCACCTGGTGAGGAACTGCTGCCGTAGCCACGGGAAGTGTGCGAGTCCTGATGCAGGGAGCAAAAAGGTTGCTGCCTGGAACAGCGACCGCCTGGGAGGCAGGGAGGGAAACATATGCGTGCTTCTGAACTTTCCTGTGTTTAACAGTTAGCAGACACTAATGAATTGCCAAACAGCCCTGATTTAAAACGTGGTAGTCAAAAGCGAGGCTACCTGCTGCTTGTCAGGTGGTCCACCTGCTCGGGAAACCAGAGTGCCCCTGCCCTGTGCCAAGAGCAAAGCTGCTGCTGCTGATCAAACCACCTCTCCGTTGTGTGTGCGCGTGCAAAGCGACAGGCTGCTTCATACTAAGTGAGGTAGGAATCCAGCAAGTGAAAAAAATATCCCAGGCTCATTACTGCAGCCTTTATTAAGCAACTGAATTTGATCATAGTGGCGTGCAAATCTGGGAAATTCAGCCCGCAGAGTGGTTTGGAATTTGAGACTGTGAGCAGACGCAGGCTGACAAAGTGAGAGAAGAGCAAAACAGGCGTGGGAAAAGCCCAGATAAAACCTCTGTAGCTGGGTTGGACGTTAGGTATCCTCTCCTGATCTGTCAGCTCCAGTGAAATTTGTACCTCTTTTGAAAACCTCTCACTGCATCCCAGAGCTTTGGGCTGTGAATGGCAGCACACTGGATCTCTGTGCTGCTTCTGGATGGAAGTGTAGTGATGGTGATGCTGCTGCCCGGCACGCTGACCCCAACCTGTTCAACCATAAAGCTGCTGGACGAGTTCCTGCCATGGAAACCCACTGCAAGTGGCTGTCAGCTAGCAGACAGGGTGCCAGGAGAAGATAGTTATGGTGCTGCCTGGGAAATGTGGTGCTACAGCACTGCTCTGCTCCTTCTTGTTCAGGGCAGGCACGTGGAAGAACCACATGCCCAGTGACAAACCAGCAGAGCTTGCTTTGGTGAGCACCTTGGCAGTGAGAGGCTGCTGGGGGTGGGAGGAGGAAGGGAGCTTCGTGGACAGCTGTGAATGAGCAGTGGAAAAACCTTATGTTGCAACCCCAGCTGCTGCTGGTGGCATGGAAGGGTGGGGGACAGCGCTCTGGTTTCCCATGTCACTCAGCACAGCCTTGTCCCTTGTGGATTTAACACGGGATATCCTTACCTGACACTGAGACTGGGCCAAGTGCTGAGCTGCTTGCAGGCACTGTGGGGCTGGGGTACTCGTGCCAGCTCTGCAGTGCTGCTCATTGGGAGCATCCTTCAGCGCAGTGCTGCGATGAGGTGAGAGATCTTCTGCGTATTGAGCATAGATGTGAGCGCACATAAATATAGATGAGACTATTCAAATGCAACATGAATAAATTTGGCCTAATCCACACAGAGTTTTATCAATATTTTTTTGTTTATTCTTTCATGCCAGCTGCTTTATTTATATATTTCCATTCTGTACATTTTTCAGAGCGATTGGATCATGTTGCACACACTTCTCTTGAAATATTAAGTGTTTGCAATCCCCATTCATAGGCACCAGCTCTGCTATTATGATCCATCATTTCAAAATCCACATATCTGCAAAAAGAGAGCTCAGCTAGCCCCTGAGTAGCAGGGAGCATTAGGCTGAAGGAATCTCATTCATCTTGTCAATAATCAATGGATGAAAACGACCCAATAGTTTGTTTCGTTGGCACATCCTCGCCATATAGTTTTAAGGGAAATGAGAGAGCAGGCTGGGGCTGACTTACACCCAAAGGGAGTGGTGATGTAGAAATGTGCATCTTTATTTTGCCAAATGGAGGATTTCCACAGTGGGTCGGACTTGAGAGTGGGGACACTTTGCCTGGCTCCCTAAGGCTGTACCTCACAAGGGGCAGCCCTGGAGAGCTGCAGCTTACCACTGCTGTTGGCCGGGGGTAGCACTGAACGCTGGCAGATTGCTTTACCCAGGGATCTTTCCCCCCCGCAGATATGCTATAAAAAATAATGTAGTTTAACTGCAGCCTGAGCGTTTTTTAATGTAGTTTCCAATTCCAAGGCTGAATTTCAGGTGTAATTTTTTTTAATTTTTTTTTATTTTTTATTTTTTGTCACTGGGATGAAAAGGAAAAAAAAAAAAAAAAAAGTATATAAGCACAGATTTTTCTTTTCCCACTCTTTTAAAGCATCTTTAAGATTCTGGTAATCTCCTGAACTATATATTGGCAATTCATGGTGCGGCAACTCCTTGTGAAATGCGCTCGTTCATTTTCACTGATTGAATTTACTGATTGTTATAATGTGTGTAAAAGGGATACGTACTTTTGAAGTAATCTTCTGCTAAAGGATTTATAGGAAACTCTATTTAAATGCCGTAGCATTTTTTCTATTGTTATGGCAGCATTATTGAGTAAACAGTTTAATTTTAGAGCCCTTGTTAAAAAAAAAAATCTATAATGACCACCGCATAAATCGTTTGCTTTTTAAAAAATTTCTATATTTAGTTCCCTCCACAGAGACCGGAGTTGAAAATAGCCTGATACCTAGGACATGAATTCTGTTAAATATTAAAGAGATCTCATCAATGATTTTATTAGTCTCAGCACTCAGTGAAGGCCGTGCTGACATCTGAAGCCTAATGATTTTTTTTATATATTTAAAGCCTTGTACTGCACCTTTAAATACTGAACAATATTGAAAAATATAGAAGTACTTTTTTGTATATTAGCTTTAGGCAGAACTGTTGTATGATTTCCACTCCTTTCATGACATTGTAATGATGTTACCACATACAACTTTATCTTGCATGAAAAGGTGAAGTCATGAGTGATTTCTCCAATTTAAAAGCACTCAACCCTCACAGTGCTAGAAATGAATATTTTGCATATATTCATGCAACAATGATTCAATTTAAGATTTCTATTTTCAAACATTGCTTGAAACCTTCAGTATGTTGGTAGTAAAATTGCCAAAATGTGTAATAAGATTTATTATAGATGAGTAGCATTTTGTTTAGTATTTCACGTTAACACGCTTTTAGGGTTACCCTGGTTTAGCAGAAAAATTCATCTTTCTCTTCTAATCAGAGCTAACACTTTATTGTATGATTAAGACGCACTTACGGTGCCATTGTGCATCACTGCAGGAGCAGAGCACTCTGGATGGCAGAGCTGCAGCCGAGCCATGCGCGATGCGTGACTCTCGCCTCTGACCCCACTGCTGGTGGCTTCTCCTCGCCGCCCTGCTGTCCCTCTAGTTTCTACTTCTGCTCCTGAAGGGCCATCCTTAGCTCCTGGCGTGGGCTGGGGTTTTGCTTGGGACTGACTCTGCCCTTGAACCACCACGGGTGGCTTTTGCCGTGGTAGCAGTCCTTGCCCTGGGAGCTGCTGGTTCTGGTGACTAACATGACTTTGGTATGAGGCAGATTTGGACTTTGTTTTGCTGCTGTGGGACGGCTCATGCTGTTCCTGGGTGTGCCCTCCCCCTGCAGCTGCAGCGGCTCCTCGGGCTGCCTTTGGTCAGCTGGGCCCAAGGGGTGGCACAGCCCCATCCAAAGCCACGTATCATTCAGTGCTGCCTCTGGGCTTCCAGGGCCAAAGGTGGCAAATGGGATTTTCAGCTCCGTGTTGCAGCCACAGACTTATGTTGGTGTGTAGACTCCAGGAGTGAATATGCTCCGCTAAATGCAGTAGTGCCAAGCTTTACTTGCATTTATTAGAGGAAAACACGTGTCTGCATGGACTTCTGTTTCTCTACTGTTCACCAAGCCCAGCTGTGTCACTCAGAAAATTTTGAGGTGAGGTATTAAGCTGTACCATCGGAGGGCCTTGAAGGACAGAAGGTATTGAGTTAGAGGCTCTGCACAGAGGGGGTGTTGGGGTGCTGGGGCTTTGTGAACCCCATGTAAGCCAATGAGAGATAAAACAGTGGAGCAGCTACTTATTCTAAAGTGCTCTATGTTTTGCTCCTGCTTCCTCACTGCTTTTTCCACCGCCAGGGCAAGTCACATCCCCTGTCTGAAGCCTGAACTTGCATCATATATGCAGCTGCATATGTGAGTGTGATACTTTCTTGGCTTGGGTGATTAAGGAGTGGTATGACCAGGCCTGAAAAATTCCTACCACTTTGATCCATTATCCAAAGTCCAAATGCTGGTCCCTCTCTGCCAGCAGTAATGTTGTCTTGCTCGACCCTGGGCTGTATCCCTCAGGGAAGAGGCTGGTGAATGGGGGAAAGCTGTTAGAGAGAAGGCAACAGAGGCACTGCATGGTGGAAATGTTTACATCTCTGCAAGTTGTAACTCAGCATGGCCGAGCTGGCATCCCCCTCTTCATGTTCACGTTCAATTCGCAAACAGAAAGAGATGATCCGCTATTAGGGAAGCTTTCTCTTTGAGTGGAGAGCAGGAGATGGCAGTGAGAGTGGCTTTCATAGATGAAAATAATTGTGCACTTTTTGTATTATTATTTTTGGCAAAGAGATAGTGTTTCAGCTTTCCAGCATATTACATCATTACATTGTATAATGCATCATAATGATAGAGTGAATGGGACCGAAGAAACGCCAGCTTCTGTTGCAAGTTTAAAGACAGACACATTTTCAGCTGGGAAAGCTGCTGTTCAGCTAAGTGTTTTCCTAGATGAAACAAAGCTGCAATCCCACTTGGCATTCGCATTAATTGTGGACTTGCCAACAGGCTAGTTTCACTGGTGTATAAATTAGTGGAGAATTATTCAACTCATCTCAATAACTAAGAGAGTATCCTCGTAAAGCTTGCTGAGCTATAAGACACTCCTCCTCCCTCTTATTTTCCAGGGTATTTTGCACCCTATACTTAGAAAAATCACAGAATTTGCACACTGTTCCCGAAAAAAAAAAAAGAAAAGAAAAAAAAGAAAAACACACAAAGACAGACATCTGATATATTGATACCACAGCAGAGCAATATGGAGACTATCTGCACCAGATAGTGAGTTTGTATTGGCCAGAATCTGTCCAAATTAAGAGGGAATTTTCTGACTTGTTTGAATTATGAGTTTGGG